CAAGCTCAGAGAAACAGATGGTGGATGTTTTCTCTCATATGTGGAATTAGATCTAATATATACTGGAACATGGTAATTTATACAAGGCTGTAGACATTCACTCACAGTGAAACCAAAGGAGGATACTCTTAAGAGAAAACACAAAGACACAATGCCTATTTGCATCTGATTATATGAAATAAAACCTTCTGAATTGGAATTGAAAATGAGATTTTTTCCTTATTATCTTTTTTGTTCATTTGTTTGTCTTTGGGAGAGTAAGGGGAGGGGAACAGAAATGTAGGGACATAGGGTGAACAAATGTAGCAGTGGTACTCACTAGGCACTCTGTTGATAATAAACTATACAACTTGTGGGTGGGGACAGGCAGGAAAAACTGGGAGTAAGCAAGGGGAGAAGAGATATTGTCCAAAAAGAAATGTGCTCTTTACCTGTCTTATATAACTGTAATCCCTGGGTGCTTCACATAAAAACAAATAAATAAAATAGAAAAGAAGGACCAATAAAAACAAAATTTGGGAAAATATTTTCATATAAATATAAAGAAGATTATTACAAATATCAGATCCAATTGTTAGAAAATTAGCTATTTGTAAACTAGCAGAACCTGGAGAATAATACAACCAATTTCTATAGAAAATTCCAAATATATAGAAGAAGCTGGAAAGGCCCAACAGAAGATGACTTCCACTTTTGAATGTATGTTCCTACTTCCACACCTTCAGCCTGGACAGAACAACCCAGAGAGCCCGGTGGACCTGCTTGTTGCGTAGGGTGTAGATGACAGGGTTCAGCAAGGGGGTCACCACTGTATTCACCAGCGCGGCCTCTCTGTTAGAGTCCAGCCTGCTTGTTTGCTTCGGCTTCACATATATGAAGACACAGCTGCCATACATCAGGGAGAGGACCATGAGGTGGGAGGAGCAGGTGGAGAACGCTCTCTGTCTCTCCTTGGCTGAGGGGAGACGCATGATGGTGGCTGCTATGTTGCTGTAGGCCACGATGGTTATCATGAGGGATGTGAAGAGAACACATAAGGCCAACATGAAGAACAAGCTGTCAATGGATCTGGTATCAGAACAGGAAAGACTGGACAGGGGTCCAAAATCACAGAAGAAATGAGGGATGACATTGGGGCCACAGAATGATGAGTGAGAGAGTGCCAGGACTGGAATCACCATAAAGAGGAATCCCAACACTGAGCAGAAAGCAACCAGCAAGAAACACACCTTCCGGCTCATGATGGTTGGGTAATGCAGAGGTCTGCAAATGGCCAGGTATCGATCCGGGGATAGTACAGCCATGAGGAAGAACACAGTCGCCCCCAGGAAAAGAAAGAGGAAGGCTTGTGCAAAGCAAGCTACAAAGGAAATGGTCTGCCTCCCTAATAGAAAGATGGTCAGCAGTTTGGGAATCACAGTGGTGATGAAACAGCATTCTACAACAGAGAAACTGCTGAGGAAGAAGTACATAGGTATGTGGAGGCGAGGGTCGGCGAGGGTGATGACAATTATGAGCATGTTGCTCAGGATGGACGTCAAATATGCCACCAGGTGTATGAGGAAGAAGATGGTGCCCAGGCGTTGCAAGGCAGGAAATCCCTCCAGGATGAACTCCTGGGCTGCAGTCTTATTCCTTACTTCCTCCACCAGCAGCTTTTCCATTCTCTCCATCTGTCATTGAACTACATGGTCACTTCAAAGCTGAAGAATAGCCAGGAACTGGTGGCTCATGCCTGTAATGCTAGCTACTCAGGAGGCTGAGATCTGAAGATGGTGGCTCAGAGTCAGCACAGGCAGAAAAGTCTTCGACACAATTATCTTAATTAACCACAATAAAGCTGGGAGTGAAGCTGTGGCTTAGGTGGTAGAGCACCTGCCTTGAGTGAAGAAAGCAGGTGTAAATCCCTGAGTTCAATCCCTGTACTAGTATAAAATAAAAACAAAACATACAGCAAGGTGCCGGTGGCTCACACCTGTAATCCTAGCTACTCAGGAGGCTGAGATCTGAGGATTGCAGTTCAAAGCCAGCCCAGGCAGGAAACTCCATAAGATTGTAATTTTAAATAAACCACCAGTAACCTGGAAGTGACACTGTGGCTCAAGTGGTAGAGTGCTAGCCTTGAGCTGAAGAGCTGAGGGACAGTGCCCAAGCCAAGAGTTTGAGCCCCATGACCGACAAAAACAAACAAGCAAACAAAACAATAAAAATATCTGAATAACAGAACTTTATTTTATTATTTTATTTTATTTTATTATTATTATTTTATTAAATATGTAAAATTACCAGACATGACCATTTGGTGTACTTATTATTTTAAAGCTCTATATTTAGCATATTGTGTGTTTTGTGTGTATGTGCCACTCCTGGGGCTTGAATTTAAGGTCTAGATACTCTCCCTTAGCTTGTTCACTCAAGGCTGGCACTCTATCACTTGAGCACAGTTCCAACTTTGGCTTTTATTGGTTAATTGGAGATAAATGCCCTAGGTTACCTTTGAACTGTGATAATATTTGTTTTTATCTACAGCCATGTTCATATTGCATGCAGCAAAAGCAGTAGATAAACAAGAACCATGTAAATAGCAACCCATGGAAATGAAGGGCACTGTCATTTTATCAGAAGTGAATCACCTTCTCAAACAGTTCATTGCTTAGTTGGAGAAAGTTACTTTTATAATTATATATTTGATGACAGAATCTATTAAGGTAGTA